GAACTTACATAAACCTCTGTTTCTGATCATGATGGCTTGTATGCAAGTTAGTATTATGTCACAGTGACCTTGCAGAACAATTTGTTTCAGCACTCAGAGTTCCCTATCATGTAGTGACATTATTTGGACATGGAATGCTGTGGTTTTAGAAATCCAATCCACTCCACACACAATTGTTACTGTGAAGGACTGGCAGAACTTGTCAGGGCTGTACAGAAAGAAAATGTAAAGGTCAAACAATGGGAAAAGGAAGTGGGTATAACATTTGGCCTCAGAAAACCACTTCTCTGGGCCCTAGGAAATCTTTCTAGGTGAAACAGCAGTAAATGGTACACTGAAGCCCCTGGTTTCACAGGACAGTTTTGAATACCAGAATACCAGTCTTTCCCCAACCCCAAACCTCCTACATAAGGAACCAGACCATGCAAAAATGCGGAATCATTTTTAGTGCATCTAAACCAAGATACACTTCTTCACACCTTTATTTGTCTATTCTCTTTCCTTCAGTGACAGAGGGCAGGCTGGTGGGGTGGACTTTGTGACTGTGCCAGGGCACCACTGGAAACTTCTCCCTTAATATTCTTGGTGTTTGTGACATTCAACCTCGTGGCCCGTTTGTCTCCACACTTCCATTTTGGTTTTTTTCTGGTCTGTAAGTCAATTCTCAGGCTTGCAAGTCAAACCTAAATTTTGCGGCCAGAGAAGTCTGTAACTCAAAAAGTCTGTAAGTCAAGCCGTCTGTAAGTCAAGGGTCCACTGTACACTTCTTCACACCTTTAAATATTTGTCTATTCTGTTTCCTTCAGTGACAGAGGGCAGGCTGGTGGGGTGGACTTTGTGACTGTGCCAGGGCACCACTGGAAAATTCTCCCTTAATGTTCTTGGTGTTTGTGACATTCAACCTCATGGCCCGCAGAGCTCACAAAGGCAAACTAAAAACCACTTGACACACTGCCACCAGTTTATCTCCTTTTTAACGTACTTTACTTAGGAAAGATGAAGGTCCATTCAGTACCGACTTTTTAATAGAACAAGTTTATTGATTACAGATGGTTTCTAGGATAATTCATAAGCATATTCTTTCAGTTTCACCAAGCATCAATATTAATTTTCTATATTAAATATCACAGGTTACTAATCAGTCCTCAGACTAATCACTCCTCAGATACCCCAAACTCACTCACTCACTCACTCACTCACTCACTCACTCACTCACTCACTCACTCACTCACTCTCACTCTCACTCTCACTCTCTCTCCCCCCCCTCTCTCTCTCTCCCTCCTCTCTCCCTCCCTGCCTCCCTGCCTCCCCCTCTCTCTCTTCTCTGATTCCAAAGCCTGACTCAGACTCTCCTCTCAGGCTCCGCCTTTTCAACATCTCTCTTGGCTCTGCCTCTCAACCACATTAGCATAGAACATGAATAATACATGACTTATTACCTAACTTAGGGTGAACGCTACATACAGTAGTTGTATTATTCTTTTTTGTTTTTCATGAGTGGGTGGCTCTGTGGGCGAGGCAGCTAGTACCTGGCTGGCTGGCTGCTTCCTTGCCTCTCCCTCCCATTGTGTTGTCCAGGCCCAGAGGGTCTCTGTTGCACTGGGTGGGTGGCACTGAACCCATAGTGGTCATAATGCAGAGTGGTTGCCAGCATGGGTCTGATGATGATTCTGCTTTATGACATACTGTTGCCGGCTTTCAGAGTACACTGATCCCCTGTAGCTTTCCCTCTGCTTTTGGGAGTAGTTTTTAGTTATTCCTGATGCCTTTTCTTGGAGTTCCAGAAAACACAAATGGGGAAATCAAATAAATGAAAGAGTTTTTTTTGTTTGTTTGTTTGTTTTTGCTTGTGTAAAATGAAAGGACTGGTACACACAAAAAAAACCAAAAAGAAAAGAAAATGAAAGAGGCTCATTGGAAAAGAATCCCAAAACAACATAAATTCAATTTTTTTCACCTTGTATATCCCTAGAGGCTGGTGATCAAAATTGACAATTAAGACTGGAGCTGAGTCCGAGACTGAAACATGGAATTGAGATCAGTTCAGACTAAATCAAGATTCATCCCAAACAAGGTTCCCTCTAAGGTGGGTGTGTGCGCACCGCTGCCTCCCTCCACGCAGCGGTCTTCCTCCTCTGCAAGCAATCGTGTTAGGTTTCAGTTGCGAAAGAACCCTGTACGCGGTGAGGGGCAGAGTGACACTTGCTCACACAGGGGCAAAGTTGCATGAGAGAGAGGTGGAACCCTGCCCAGTGAAGCTGAAAGTTAGAAGGTATGTTGATCCCAAAGTGCCAAATTAGCCACTAAATCAAATTGGGAGTCTGGTGCATAGCCATGTTTCGAAAGCTTCTACTACTGCAGCCAGTCCTGCTTAGAAGTTAAAAGATTATAGATGTTTGCTGAACTTTCCTTTGTAGTCAATGCGGAAAATGTCTGAAATTCAGAAAATCGGACAAACCAAGTGTCTGCACTCTACTCAGAGTTTAGACAAAAAGGAGTGATAAAGAGGGGGAAAAAATACCAGGTCACCAAGAACTTGAGAATTTAAAAAATCACTAAAACAATGCCAAACTAAAAGGTATATGCCGTTGGTATACATAAATATGCAACACAAAATGTATATACATGATGTGTATTAGAGAAGACCATGAACTAAAAAAATGAATCACCAAATTCATTCCAAAAATTGCTAATTCATCAATTCATATTTGTCAGAGTTGACATCCCCCAAACAAATATGAAAGAAACTATACACACAAATACTTTAAATAATCCTTCCCACAGAAGCAAAAGTATAATAAAATATAAAAAAGAATGTTCTAAGTTACATTCTAAAAATGCAGGAGCTTATAGCCTAAAAGATGATTAAAAAAAAAAAGACAAATACAGTGGTGCCTTGCAAGACGATTGCCTCAGGGGACGAAAAACCCGCAAGATGATTGGTTTTAGTGACCCCTATGGTGCCTCGCAAGACGGTTTTTTCTGTGACCATGCTTCGCAAGACCTTTTTTTGAGACTGGTGCTTCGCAAGACAAATAAATTTCATTTGTCTTGCAAGGTTCCCTATGGGAACCTCACAAGACCATTTTTTCACAAGACAGCAATTTTCGCAGAACGAATTAAAATCGTCTTGCAAGGCACCACTGTACATCTTTTAAAGTATTACTTTAAGACTATATAAAGTAATCGACTTTCTTAGCCTTTAAGCATATTAATAACACGAACAGAAAAAAAATTAATTTCTAAATGTTTATTCAGCCATTTACCAGTTAAAATATATAGAGGAAAATCTATTACTTCTTTGTTTTTTCTCTGTACTGTTTCATTATCTGTTACCTCCCACTAGCTCCTTGGCTCTGCTACATGATACCATTGAGGGGACCATGTACACAAAAGCATGCACAAGAAGAACACACCTTTGATCAGATCACACAGAATACAGTTTGGAAAGATAAAACACAACCAGATTTATACATATATGTACATGGTTTTGTTCTCTCAAAGAGGTTCTGTAAAGGAATAAGGCTGGCCAGGTTTTCCTTTGCCAGGGCAGGTTATCTCGCCTTCCAATCTAGATTTGAGAAGCAAACAGACACAGCTGGGTTTTGTCACTCCTCCCCAAGGCAATTACCTGGACCAATCTTATGTAAATTGAACTCTGGCACCTGGACAGTCATTGCACAATACCTTTTCCTGTACAGACATTATTTCCTGTCACTTTGGAGTCTCCTTTTCATGCAACCTTGTAACCTCTTTGCAAGAGAATAAATTGTTTTCCTGTCAATATAATACAACAATGTAACCATGTATTTCCATAATTGCTGTCTGTTGACCCAACCTGTGGTAAAATTCTATCCTTTCTGTGATTCCCCCTCTGATAAAGTTTTGGATTCCTTTGTAACCCCATCCCTTCTGCCAATAGGTCATGAACCACCCATTTCTCCTCCCATTCCCTTGTGTGACCAATGCTATAAAAGTCGTAGTATTCCTGTGCAACATTTGGTTGTTCCTGCCTACACTTGGAGGCATGACTTCCATGACGCTTTTTAATTAGCTAAATAAAACAGCGACCATTTGAACTTTCTCTCGAGTCAAGATTTATTGGCAATTAATTTTGACTTGGAAAGTCTAGGGGCTAGCCCGGACTCAACACCATATGTTGTTGGTATCTGGTGTATGAATAATGCGGAGTGTTGTTGATTTGCATGTTGCAAAAATTCACATTCATGTATTTTTTGTCCTATCACCCCATACTTATAATTTTTACCAATTGTTTTCACGCACATCCATCTGTAAACAGTCTCTGGGGTACTTTAGAGTTTTTTTATGGTGGAAAATATTGTAGAATAACATTGTTAGATCAAGGCCTCAATTTGCTTCATGAGTGGAGTTCCATCAACAATAAATAAGGGAAAACAGAAGTCACTAGAATGCTGGAGAAGGAAGATCAATCTATTAGTTCTGAGGAGGAAGACAATCTGGAAGGAGTAGTTGGTAGATCATCAGTGGACCTGGCTTGATCTACCAACTAATCTTTCCCTAGGGGCCCAGGGGGGACATGCAACTTTTTTTCTCTTTTTTTTTTTGAAAATGGAAAAGTTATTGTAGAAGTATGTCTGTCAACATGCCAGTTCAAGTCAGCCTGTGCCACCATCCAGGCTTGGCTGACCAGAAGGGTTCAGGCTTCACTTCCATCTTAAAACTGGAGGAATAGTCCTTTGCTAACAGCACTTGGTTTAGTGAAAGACAGCCACCTTTATTTGCTAATTTTGTCCCTGAATGTGGCTGGAGATTTGGTGCAATAGAGATATATAGTATAAGACCAGGGTTGGGGGGGGGGTTGAATTTAACACTATAGTGGTGGACCTTTGTCCCAGAGTCCAAAGTCTCTATGTTCAGTCAAGAGCCTGCTCACTAAATCAGGTAGGCACTCAACTGGACCTTTAAAAAAATTAAACTGAGTTTTAGAGCAGCAAATATTCACTGTACCACTTAAAAGAAATAAAAGACAAATGGAAAGCTTTCTCCAGGAAGATTTTATTTGTTTTTCTCTTCTTGACTTCTTTCTTGTTCTCGTTTCACTTCTGTTGTGTTCCTCCTGTTTTTATACCCCATCTTCTATTTTGGCTATCTATTTGCTTTGATATAAAACTGGTTCATGATCTGGACCTTAATTCATTGGGGAGGAAGTAATTTACTTGTTATACTGATCACACAGAAAAATAGAGATCCCAGTATTGATATGTCTGTAAAAACAGGTGTCCACCCAATGTATAAAACAAAGGGCTACAGCAAATTTACCTCCTGGTAAATTTATGCCAAATATTTTTTAATCTCTTGTCTCTACCGCTTGTTATCAGTGAAAAGTTCATAATGAACTTCTAATGGCTTTCAATGAGGGATATAGATTTTTCTCTTTGAACTCTAAAATCAAAGATGACACTTCCATGTTTTTGGCATCTCCAACTAACTGGAAGGTGAAGTTCTGAAGAAGAATGCTAAAGAACAAGAAGATCTCCATCCGAGCCAGTGCTTCCCCTGGGCATGCCCGCTTCCCTGGGAGAGAGAAAGAAGAGAGAGCTAATCACTCTCTGGAAACTTGTGTAAAGCCCAGGGTCAAAAGTATACAAGACAGCAGCTTCACACTGAGAAGTGGATAGCACATTGTTTATCCAGCAGTGGAAATTCTTCAGCATTGCACATCTCACCAATCAGTTTATAAATGAATGCTATGCTATACCTCTGTGTGTGAGTTTTGGCTTATGCATTTACCTGCTGAAAAAGGCATGAAGGCATCTCTCTTCCAGAACTGACCCTTCTCATCCAAAAAATGGCCTGGGTTGAACTTGTCTGGAGTCTCCCACTGAAGAGGGTCGAAATGTACAGATGTGAGGACTGGAATGACAGTAGTGCCCTTCAAAGAGAGAAGGAGACAGGTGGCATGATTTGTTTCAGCCTCACATGCATCTAAGAAGCAGCTTTCCTTTGGGAACAGCAATGAGTTCTAAAATTGGTGGCCTCAAAGCAGGGCCAGACTTTTTGACTCTGCTTCTGCCCCCTATGAAATGGGAAGCCCACTGAAGCGGTGCTGAAGCAAGTGACTGTGGAGCTGAGCTTTCAGCTTTCTCCCTCTGGGAAAAAAAGTACTGATCTTACCAACTAGTTCCTTCAGATGGGCCCCAACGAAGCAATCTGAGTACAAATACACCAACGTGCACCTTTTAGACTGCCATGCATCTCACATCTGGCAGGGAAGGGATGACAAGGCTACTGAAATGCAACAAGAGGGAAGGCTTTGCTCTTTCTCTTTTTGAACTATGCTTATTCCCTCCCTTTCCCTGAGTATTTGCGTGAGAGATGGAGGAAAGCACATGTTCTTGATGGCAAACGACCAGCAGTAAGCAAGCCTGGAGCTGGAGATGGACCTGAAGAAAGAGCTCTCCACATCTGGTGGTGGCAACAGGCAAAAAGTTCAGTCCTTTAGACTTGGAGCACTTCTCTGCTGAATTATGGTGGCCAGGACAGACTCCTTAAACTCAGCCTCTGTACCTCCTCCGCATCCTTGCATTTGTTCTGGATCTGAATAAGGGCAATCAGACTGGAACTGATTCACCCTGTGCCTTTTTTGGGATATTTGTAAACAATCTGGGTCTGTGCCTGTGTTTGTGCATTACCAGGTCTCAAGGGAAAACTTCATTCCCACATATGGAGAAACACAAACAGCTATAACATGGGAATGGGAGTAACGTAGTGCCATCAGAACTATATCTGACAGAATAATTTTTTCCACCTCCAGTCCAGAGAACACTCAATAAAGAGAAGCAGGAAATAGTTATTATGAACTTGGGCATAGACCCTACTACACCAACCAGAGCTTGGCATCAGTCTATTACAATCCAATAGGTTGGGCACATCCTAATGTAATTAGGCAATTTACTGTAGTTTATGTTTTCATTAATCTGCGGCTTTTGCATCAAAGTTTTTAGTCAGAAATTAGTCAAGTATGAGACAATGGTAGGAAAGAAAGCTGTAGCCAGGTGACAGGATAATCATTGAAATTCATCGTTAAAAAAAACATGTCTGCACCCATTCCAAAAACTGTGTTGCCCCGTCTGATCAAGATCCTTAAAAAAAAGGGTAAGAGTTATTAGGTGGGATTATATGGAGGGGGGGTGAAAGAAGGATTTTTGGTTGGAGGGGTAAGAAATATTTTTTTCAAATATTCTTGCAGCTATATTTTATTCTCCATGGCTCAAAACAAGGAGAAAGGAGAGGGGAGGAACAAAATGATGGATGACATTTTTCATTTTTATTCCAGCAAAGATTTTAGCATAGTATTGTAACATACATTTAACACTCTCTTTTCAATATAAATTTAGCTTTATTAAACCGTCAGTTTACTGACTATAAGCATAACCTGTGACTGTTTTTCTAACTTTCCACTCTCTGGCACCAACGAAGAAAGAAAAAAAAATCCAGTTAGGTGTACAGGGCAGGGGGAAGGTGAGAAGGACAGACCTAATGTGCTAAAATGAAGTTCTGACCTGATCACTCAAACCCTGCACAAGAACATAAGTGTTTAGTTGCAAGACACATGCGCACTCAGTCTCTATAGTGTAATAAGATATATATAACTGAGCTAAAAGGAAGGAAAAAAAGCAACTGAAGAACGCAATACAATATGTATTACACTGAAGCATAGAAACATATACACTCTTTTAAGAGGAAACAGAAGGTCTGGGTTTTAATTAATAATGGTAAAGGTAAAGGTAAAGGTTCCCCTTGACAATTTTTGTCCAGTCGTGTTCAACTCTAGGGGGTGGTGCTCATCCCCGTTTCCAAGCCATAGAGCCAGCGTTTTGTCCGAAGACAATCTTCCGTGGTCACATGGCCAGTGCAATTAATAATGACCTCTTTAGAAATGAATCACTTGATATTGAAAGCTCTCCATGAATGCAGTGGGGAGGGGCGGCCGTTGCTCTTCTACCCAGTAGCTCTTGTTGAAGAACTGCTTTGGATTATGGAAAATCATGGCCAGTTATATATCTACAAACCCCTCCTTTCGCTCCCAGGATTGGTGTGAAAAATGTGAGAGATGGCTTACCTGTGGGATGGTGTAGCCTCTGAATTTTGTGTGGCAACTTGTTGCACGAGGCAAGGTTTCAAGTCCCGCCGCAATGTGTCGTTGAACTTCATAAATGACGGCATTGGTGAAAGGCATCCTCAGCTGATCTTCCATGCCTGGCATGCGGTTGGCACCTACTACCTCCCTGATCTCCTTTTGAACTTTTTCTGTGACAGAAAACATTCCTAAGATTTACTTACAGAAGTGTGAAATCTCTTTTCCAATCAGCCACCCCATACCTTGGATATTCTCACACATATCTAATGTTTTGGGCTGGTTCCCTTTTTAAAAAAAAAATGGCATTCAGAGATGTCAAATTAATACACAGAGATCACTTAATGAAATGGATTGACAATAGATTCAGAATAGATGAAAGAAATAGCTCCTTCTTATACTGCATAATTAATATTTCAAATCTGGTGCCACATGGAAAGTCACTTTGGGTGCCCTCACTGAGAGAAAAGAGACTTACAAATGATACAAGGCAAATAAATAAATACAATAAATAAGCTGTAGACAAGTCTTGATCTCTTTCAAAACCAGGTAGATCAGTGGAGAGATGACAGTTCTTTTAATGGGTTTTGTCATTTTAACTGGAACAAGACTGCATGTTGAAAGGCAGTATACTTTTGAACAAAAGATGGGAGGGGTCAAACAAGGGCCCCCTGGAAATGTCCTTCCTGTCCTTTACACCAGCCATTCTCAACAGAAGCCATGAGGAGCCCTGGCACATATGAAGGGAGTCACAGATTGGAAACATTTCTTCACATATCACCTTATAAGGTCCATTGTGCATCTTATACAATCCTGATCTGACCTATATTTCTTCCATGTTGTGTTTATGACTGGTGAAAAAATGTTGAGAATGGTTGCTTTACATTGCTAAGGCTGATACAAAAGCTTCATGGAAACTTCCTAGTCTAGAGATCTCTCTACTCAGTGTGTTTATTGACAAAGCCACCGTCGCCTCAGAACAGTTCTCTGGAGCATCTGTGTACCTTGAAGGTGTGGCAATTTAGCCATCAGCAGGAGCAAAGAGAGCAAAGCAAAGCTAACAGTTCCTGAACCAGCTACAAAGAGTTGAAATACACACGCGGCAAGGTTTTCTTGGCCGAAAACGCCTTCAGGAGAGTTGTGTTCCTGTAAAGAAGACAGAGAGGAAAAACCAGAGTGAAGATCGCATTGAGGAAGCCATACAAGCCGATCTACAGCCCTAGGAAAACAATGAATTAGAAGATGAAGAAATCTCATGTAATCCAACAAGAAATATTTAGCATAAAAAAACTGTACCAATGAGCTTGGATCAGGTTCCAGTTTTGTGAAATTATGCATCACCCTAAATATTTTAAAGGTAAGACTAATAAGTATGTCTGAGTCGTTTTCTCTCTTTCTTTCCCCTCCTCCTGCTCTTCCTCTGTACTCCACTGAAACCTACCCTGCTCTTCTAAATTCCACTCACACTCCTTTTAGGAGAGATTCGTCCTCATCCCCACATTTGACATCTAGCTTTAACGTTTCTTTTCCTCGTCCCATTTTTCTCCTCCTTCCCCAGACTTCCAGTAAGCCTCTTCCCCCTGAACATTCCACTGCTAACCTCATTGGGCCTTATTAGGAGCCCTCCGTGGAACCCAGCTCCAAATATTCCTCCTAATTGCCATTACCTTCCACTGGGTTTCATGTGCTATTTCCACACTAAAGCATTTGGTGGAAGGATAGCCAGATAACTAGTCAGAGTTTTAATAAAGAAATAGGTAGACTATATTTTTATAGCATGTGGATATTTTAAGTATTTCACTGATTTGTTCCACATTCCTTTTATGCTCATTTTATTTTGTTACAATAAAGTATACTTGTTATAGTTCACCTCAGTCGGAGTAATGGGGTCCAACTACACAATGAGGGAAATGTTAATTAACTTGCATTATTTTGGGGTGAAGTTGCACCAGGGCATTCAGTTTTTTCCAATATATGTGTTCACAGAAGAAGGGGGGAGCCCTTCTACTTGCAGTTTCATTTGAAGTGCCTGTAGGTGGTGCAGTTCAAAGAAATTGCCTTAAGAAGGCTTTCATTCTCCCAGTCATTTATTTCCCTTTCTTATTCTGCTGACTGGAATTATCCTGAAGCTGTTGAAAAACAAAGAAGAAAAGAAACAGTGCTGCCCACCCGGGGAAAACTGTTTTTTAAAAAGAAGTGGCTTGGGGGGAGAGGCTTTGCAGAGAGAGGTGAGTGCTGGCACTGCTTCTTGGTGTGTGTGTGTGTGTGTGTGTGTGTGTGTGTGTG